GGATGACTAATTAAGATCACGATGTCAGGTGTATAAAAAAACGACCAGGGTTGAAGCCGGCCACCTTTTTGCTTTATTTCGTAAAGTATAGAATATTGTTTTGATGATCTATCACAGTACAGATGAAAGTTTAGCACAGTTTCATCGGGGTCATAGGGTAGTGAGCCAAGGAATTCTTCGCACAATTCAACAGTCTTCTTTACGCAGCAATCCTCTTACGGTTTCCGGTGAGACCATACCACGAATTCATTTCAAACAAATTTTCCTTCGAAATGGAGTTATGCCACAAAAAAGGTGTTATGCCTATCACAATATAGACAGTCTAAAAAATTTAGTTCTTACTCACTTAGCCATTAGCTCGCCTGTTTCTCCACTAGCATCTCAATACCTATGATTAGCGAATTAATAGTATAGTAGAGCAGACCAATTGCTCTGCTCTAGTTAGATAATAGGAATCTTAGACGAGGAGTAAAAATAAGAAATTTATTTCTACGTTTTCCCAAACCCACTTTTCCAAGATAATCCGACAAAACGATTTATAGAAGTTGTTTGACCTTGTTTTTGCAACTTGGTCATATTGGTAGGAAGAACGCACCTAGTCCTGAGTCCATTGTATGCATGATCATTTCCAAACTCGAACCGTGGACGTGGTACATTTTCAGACATTTTGCCAGCATCGTCAGTGAGTCTCGCCATTCTTAGACCCACACAAAAACTCATCAGAGACAAATGAAACCGATCCTATGACCAAACGTTTGCTAAACAGTTGTGGTATCTCCCATTCTGCCCTGGGCTATTCACATTTCCTATATCCTCCTATCACGCCCAATCACTGTTACAATTTTTACCGTGCTTATTTAGATGTAGTGTGGTGTGCTCCTTTGGGCGGAATTCATCAAAACCCTTCACACTCCAAGCTGTCGTTCCCACCCCTTCACCATTGTGCTGGAAATGTTGATCAGAGTCTGTAACATTGTTACGCAGTCCTTCCCCAGGTCTTACCACAGTCCCTCTTTTGCCCAGTAAGATCCGTCTGCTCTCTCTCTGGTTCACATATTTTACTCGATCCCTAAAAACCCCACCTGTGCTACTCGAGGCGTTATTCGTCCTTCCCTGCGTCTGGGTAACTAATTCGAGGCTAAAACCTCTGAGTAAATCTCATGGTTACGCTACATGGACCACGTCTCTGGTAAAACCTACTGTCAACCAACTAGCTCGTCTCCACCGCGTTTATCCTGTTTCTATCCCTAACACCAATTCTATAAATTCATGTGTCATAGTCACTTTTGGTCCAACAAACAAATGTTGTGATACTGCTT